TTGGTGTCGATGTTTCCAGTTTTTCTCATTTCCTAAGCTAGTAAACTTTTCGCGCAACAACAATAACAACAAAAGCTTTATCGTAAATATTTTGTCAATAATATACCGTAAAACTGAGCCAAGAGTTAGTACTCGGTTAGCGCTAATCGATCGAGCTTGGAACAGCTCAGATAGTGATGCAGTTATCAAATCATATAAGCAGAATGCAATCATTAGGAATGTTGTCGAGGTTTCACTTACGTTTCCTTGTGATTCTAGAAGGTCGCTTGTGAAATAACTCGTGATAATGTAACCTTCATATATATCATGACAATAATCAATGAAATTTTAATATGGAGGTGTTGATTTGACCCATGCATTTTTGTCTTAGATGAGAGAAAACTTTCGATAATCAATTTACAACGGATCGCTGATTTCTCMGAATCAACCCGCAGTTAAAAAAACAGCAAGGGAATTCTTTTCTAAGTTCTTATTCATTAAAATCATTACGCCAGGAAAAGGGGAATTGACGATATCTGTTCTGTAGCTCTATGCTCACAAAATGCAATGGCAACATCAATGTTTCGATTAAAATTCATCAATTATAAATAACAATTAATTAGTATATTCTAATAGGTGAAAATATGCAATTATATCACTGAACTATTGTTTGGTAAATTCACTGTCAGCCGGATTGAAACGGTTGTCTTGCTGCATGACCGACATTAAAGGAAACTGCGACCTGCTTTTGGTGAAACCAGAACTGGTGGTTGAAGACAGCCAATAGGAGCAAAAGAAGACTATAAACTACTTAATTGTTAAAGGCTGATGGTCCACCAGCATTCAATGCGGTCGTGTTTTAGATTTTTCATTGGAAAATGAGGTGACTTCGAATATCCATTCGCAATCCGTTTCCATCCATCGGTTTAAAGGTCGAATCTTACAGTAGTGATCTCTATTCGTATAATGGATAGAGTACAAACATTAAATGTGTGCAACACCTTCCACTATTTACTACAGAATAGTGTTAATTAAAGAATAGAAAACAATAGAATTAGCATAATTTACAGTATTTAGTGGTATTTATGTTGCACAGTTTTAGTCTTTGTACTCTAATATAGAGTAAGTTTTGGTTATAATCGAGATGGTGGCTGTTTGGTAAAACTCGTAGTCAGTGCGATATAAATGACCACTCATTTCATAGGTAAAGCTGATCCAAATTTCATGAGCTAACGATCATACATGGGAATTGATTCGTTGCGAGTAAGACTGATAATGGTCCTTTACCATCATTACGCCACAGGTTTGTTTTGGCGATAAGCATAACGATGGCAGATGCCTAGCTAAGCTGTAAAGCGGATGTAATTTCTAGGAACCCCCTCCCATTGTTTGTAAACGACTTTCGCACGCGATGGGAAAGTGCGTGAAAATCCTACACGAGGTGCTTTTTTCAGCTTTGCTTATTGTAAACAGCAAGAATTGGTGCGTACACACTCATCAAAGCGACTCGCGTGGCATTTCCCACGCACTTTGCTTTTTCTGGTAAGTCTACCGTCCACTCTAATACGGGAAGACGAGTTTAGGGCTACTGTCTTTTGTTCTCTCCACCTGTTTTTTGTACTTCATGAAGGCAGGTCATGGTTTTTCTGCTTGTCATGCTGCAAGACAACCCTTTCACTCAATTTGATTTGCGAAACAATAGTTCCTTCATATTTCATAGTTTCCGCTTGTTTTTATACACAGCTATCAATAACCGATAACAACTTAAACAAAGAACTGTAGAACAGATTTCATTCTAAATCTCATTCCACTTTTACTCAAAACTTTAGAAAGAGCGACAAAAGTTCGACGTTACTGGCACTGACTTTCGATTCAGTTTTTATTTTTTACATCATGAAACAGGTTGGCCACGTGAAATCAGCAATCCCTTGTAATAAACTGACGACAGTTGTTGTNTATGGTATATTCATGTTAGACCATGGATCACATCAAATAAAGGGAAAAACTTCGCATTAATCAATTAAAAATGATGAGAAAATTTGAACAGTTTTAGTTTCTTTTGTAAAATCAGTCCTATCCTTAGACCACTCCTTTTCGTAGAATAAGTGTAGTTTTGATCAACCATTCGGACAAGTCCCGCCTCGTGGACTATAAAATTCGTTGTTCACTCGACGTATTTGTCTATTTGTTAAGTAGTGCAGCTAGAGTTTTGCCATAAGAAACAATAAATACTATATTGCAAAATTAGATTTTAACAAAAAAACTGTTTGCCTATTTCTTCGAAACATGTCTGCTTCGCTGCAAGGATGAGATTAAGCAAAATCCTTAGACTATACACATCAATTTAGGGGAAATGTGTACGTAAATATTTTCCCCCAGCAAATGATACTGTTTCATTCAACTGAGCAAAAGTTACAGTGTTAGGAAATTCCTAGAAATGAAAATAATAGTATATAGAAACATAATATTTCTGTTATACAGTGGACATCTCAAATCACAATGACATGTGGGATGTCCAGGTATAAATGAATGCAAAATAATTTACACATATCTATGGCGCGCCGTTTGTTTCAAAATAAAAATGTACCTCCTTTATAATTTTTCTTCTTACAAAGCGCATTTTCCTCCATCAAACAACTTCTGAGCCCATATAAAACACTTAAGATATACTAGTATGTTGGTTTAAACACCAAAAAACAATTATATTTTAACTTCACGATCACCTTCATGGGTCAGTTTTACACCGTGATACAWTTATTTCACCTTCATGGGTCASTTTTACWCCGTGATACAATTATTTCACCTTCATGGGTCAGTTTTACACCGTGATACAATTATTTCACCTTCATTGGTCAMTTTTACACCGTGTTACATTTATTTCACCTTAACTATTGTTTGGTAAATTCACTGTCAGCCGGATTGAAACGGTTGTCTTGCTGCATGACCGACATTAAAGGAAACTGCGACCTGCTTTTGGTGAAACCAGAACTGGTGGGTGAAGACAGCCAATAGGAACAATTATTTCACCTTCATTGGTCACTTTTACACCGTGTTACATTTATTTCACCTTAACTATTGTTTGGTAAATTCACTGTCAGCCGGATTGAAACGGTTGTCTTGCTGCATGACCGACATTAAAGGAAACTGCGACCTGCTTTTGGTGAAACCAGAACTGGTGGGTGAAGACAGCCAATAGGAGCAAAAGAAGACTATAAACTACTTAATTGTTAAAGGCTGATGGTCCACCAGCATTCAATGCGGTCGTGTTTTAGATTTTTCATTGGAAAATGAGGTGACTTCGAATATGACAAAGAACTCCGTTTCCATCCATCGGTTTAAAGGTCGAATCTTACAGTAGTGATCTCTATTCGTATAATGGATAGAGTACAAACATTAAATGTGTGCAACACCTTCCACTATTTACTACAAAATAGTGTTAATTAAACAATAGAAAACAATAGAATTAGAATAATTTAGCAGTATTTAGTGGTATTTATATTGCACAGTTTTAGTGTTTGTATTCTAATATAGAGTAAGTTTTGCTTATAATCGAGATGGTGGCTGTTTGGTAAAACTCGTAGTCAGTGCGATATAAATGACCACTCATTTCATAGGTAAAGCTGATCCAAATTCCATGAGCTAACGATCATACATGAGAATTGATTCGTTGCGAGTAAGACTGATAATGGTCCTTTACCATCATAACGCCACAGGTTTGTTTTGGCGATAAGCATAACGATTGCAGATGCCTAGCTAAGCTGTAAAGCGGATGTAATTTTTAGGAACCCCCTACCATTGTTTGTAAACGACTTTCGCACGCGATGGGAAAGTGCGTGAAAATCCCACACGAGGTGCTTTTTTCAGCTTTGCTTATTGTAAACAGCAAGAATTGGTGCGCACACACTCATCAAAGCGACTCGCGTGGCATTTCCCACGCACTTTGCTTTTTCTGGTAAGTCTACCGTCCACTCTAATACGGGAAGACGAGTTTAGGGCTACTGTCTTTTGTCCTCTCCACCTGTTTTGTACTTTATGAACACAGGTCATGGTTTTTCTGCTTGTCATGCTGCAAGACAACCCTTTCACTCAATTTGATTTGCGAAACAATAGTTCCTTCATATTTCATAGTTTCCGCTTGTTTTTATACACAGCTATCAATAACCGATAACAACTTAAACAAAGAACTGTAGAACAGATTTCATTCTAAATCTCATTCCACTTTTACTCAAAACTTTAGAAAGAGCGACAAAAGTTCGACGTTGTTACTGGCACTGACTTTCGATTCAGTTTTTATTTTTTACATCATGAAACAGGTTGGCCACGTGAAATCAGCAATCCCTTGTAATAAACTGACGACAGTTGTTGTTGTTTTTTTTTTCACTAAGGCAAACAGGGATAGAGCAGGTCTAATCTGCAATCCCATATCAAATTCACTTTAATACGAGTTATTTCACAAATCCCTCAAGACGCAACTGGGAAACGTAAGTTTTAACAGATTGCCACGTTTCTCTCGAAATGAAGTCCTTCTCTAGTTAAGGCCTAGTTGAAACGTCGAATTCCACATGTGCTGAGTTCAATGTTAAGAGATAAGCAGAGACAAAAGATATGAGGTACTAACAATGAATTTGGTACATGTGAAATTCCGCGTTTGACCAAGTCCTGGAATCACTTATTTCTTTCGTTTATAATTTCCATGAAGTAGTCTTTCTGATTAACTTTTTGATAAATCTTCCCACAAAACAGGTGATAAATTATGCAGATTTGTATTGTCTAATGAACAATATTTTAACAGATTGCAAAGGAAAAGCATTTAAAAACAAATTAGCATAAAATTATGCAGGTTGGTTTCCTATTGTGTAAAAAACAACTACCGATGCTTCAGAAATTATATTTGTACTCCAAATACCCCATGTACTCTTAGACTATTACATGAATTATTACTTTCGGAGAACAACAATGCGTCCGCCATCTTGAAAAGTGTGACTCGATTCACGAAATCATGACTCATAAAGAAACTGAAGAAATTAAAAAAGTTCTTACTGATGTCAAGTTAATATAATACGATA